TATCATGGCATACCTGTACAAAGTATGAGATCTAGAATTGTAATTTTTCCTTTTTGTGCTTCCAGACTCCTCATAATGATTATTTCAGAATTTTAAGTGTTGCAATGTAGTTCCTTAATTTAATAGTGGTACCAGGTTCAAGGAAATCCATACTCTACAAATAATAACATTTGTCAAAGAAAATAAATCTGAAACTGAATTTTTGTACCAAAACCTATGTTTAGCTCTTTTCTTTTATTCTCTTCTTCTTATTTAACAAGTTCTAAAATTTCTGGGTCCTAATGATGAATCCATGTTTCATCTGCTATCATAATGATGTGAAGAAATTTCTCACCTTCATTTTTCTAGTGTGACCATTACTGACAAATTTTCACTCTTGGAGCTTTCATCTTTTCAGTCACTGTGCAAGCAAATATCTTGCACATATCTTCTAGTATTGGAGAATGGTAATATGATTCACATCTTCCTGTGCAATGCCACATTTGACAGCAATTATAGTTTGAATGACCCATCAACTGGCAGTTCATCTCATTTGCTATGGCAGGTCATCCACTACATTCTTAATCACACGAAGCAGCTCTTTTCAGTTCACCACCTTAACATTTTTGGCTCGATGACACCTAATATTCGCAACAACACAGTCATGATAATAAACAGCCTAGATTCAGTGACGAATTTCATTTCTGGCAGTCAAAAATTCAGTTATAGCACATTGCTTAAAGCACATTTTATGTTTTCATATGACAAACAATATCAACACTTTTTCTTTCTTTCACAGCAGCTTCCTACCAAATGAAGTAAAAGAACAGATCCTGCAAAACTTGTCTTTGCTTCCAGCATCTAAGCACTGCCATCTGTTGGCAAATTGTAACATTGGCAGAGCTGTTGGCAAATCATAACATTAATTTTCATTTAACCTTGTAAATACTTCGTCTCTCAGGAGCATGCAAAAACAAAAACTGATGGACATCTACAGTCTTCTTGTCATCTTTACTTGCCACACAATAAAACTCTCTTTTTTGCTTCCATCTTCCCCAGATTTCTACAACATGACTTCCAAACTCCTCTAGAAGCAGGCTTGTCAAACTGGTGGCCCGTGGGCCAGATACATCATGCGCAAGCCACACCAGATATGTCATATGCAGGCCATGCCCAATCCAGCTCCGCAAAGGCAAAAAAAAAATTGTGATATGCTACGATCCGGCCCATGACACAATCCAGTTTGACACCCATGCTCTAGAGGCTTTAACTAATTCTTCTTAACTCAGTCTGCTCCAAGCACTAAATGTTAAAAAATGGTCCATATAAGCATAAAATCTATAGCAAACCAAGATTACATTCAAATGAAAACACATTAACTTCACGATGCAAAAGGATTAGAAGCAGGCTGAGGGGGAGTCAATTAGCGAGTACATGGCAGCCCTGAGATCAGCTGCCTTACAGTGTGGGTTCAGAGACTACCTAGAAGACATGCTTTTGGATCAGATTGTCTGTGGGGTCAGGGACCTTAGGCTTCAAAGATGCTTACTAGTCAAAAAAGACTTAACCTTAGCCATAGCATTGGGTTGCTATTCTGGCACCCCCATCTCCTTCACTGTGGACCCCCAGGCAATTCCCCTTCGCCTCAAGCCGCGCAGAGTACCCTTTGCCATCCGTCCAAAATTAGATTTAGAATTAGATAAGTTACTAAAGCAAGGGGTATTAGAGCCAACTGATTTTGCCAAATGGGAGACCCCCATAGTCACCCCACTCAAAAAAGATGGCAGCGTGAGAATCTGCGCTGATTACAAGACCACCCTCAATCGTTTTCTGCAGGTCAGCGCATACCCTGTACCTGTGATCCAACACCTATTACACACTTTTGAACCTGGCACCATCTTTGCCAAATTAGATATGTCCCAGGCATACCAACAGTTCCCTGTTGATGATCAGACAGCTGAGCTGCAAACCATAGTCACTCATAGGGGAGCATTCAAATGCAAGCGCCTCCAATTCAGTGTGAGTGTAGCCCCAGGTATTTTCCAGTCCCTCATGGAAAGGATTCTCCAAGGACTTCCAGGGGTAGTGCCTTACTTCGATGACATTTTAGTTTCAGCAGTTAACAAACCTCAGCTCATACAAAGGGTTAGGGCAGTCCTAGACAGGTTCAGGCAGCATGGCCTCAAACTCAAAAGGGAGAAGTGCACCATCGCCACTAAGCAAGTGGACTTTCTGGGGTACAGGATTGATGCCTCTGGCATTCACCCAATTGAATCCAAAGTCAGGGCTATCCACGAGGCACCCACACCAACCAACAAGACAAAGCTCCAAGCCTTTCTGGGGCTGCTGAACTTTTACGCTTCATTTCTTCCTCATAAGGCATCCATTGCAGAACCCTTACACAGACTTTTAGATAAAGAATCCCCCTGGCATTGGGGACCTAGGGAAGCTCACGCTTTCAAATCAGTCAAATCCTTACTAACATCTGATGCAGTTTTAATCCAATTTAATCAACAACTCCCCCTAGTCCTGGCTGCTGATGCATCCCCTTTTGGTATTGGGGCAGTTCTGAGCCACAGGCTCCCAAACGGTTCTGAGGCACCAATTGCCTTTTTCTCTAGGACTTTCTCTGCTGCAGAAAGAAACTACAGCCAAATTGATAAGGAGGCCTTGGCTGCAGTAGCTGCAGTTAAAAAGTTTCATGAATTTCTATTTGGGCACCACTTTGAACTCATAACTGACCATAAACCACTCCTAGGACTTTTGTCAGGGGACAAGAAAACCCCACAGGTTCTATCACCTAGGATGACCAGGTGGACTTTGTTCCTGGCCGCATATTCATTTAAATTAGTGCATCGCCCTGGAAAAAACTTGAGTCACGCAGATGCCCTTAGTCGCTGCCCCCTGCCAGTTCCAGTCGAAGACCCAGCACCCATTCATGCCATTTTTGAAGTAAATGAACTTAAATTGCCTGTTACAGCTGAAGACATTGCAACGCACTCAAAAAAAGACAGGGTAATTGCCCAGGTTCTGGGCTGGGTGGGAAGGGGGTGGCCTGAAACACAATACACTTCTGACTTCACTCCCTTCAAAATTCGCAAGCAAGAATTGTCAAGCCTACAGGGTTGTCTGTTATGGGGGACAAGGGTGGTCATCCCAGCCACTCTCCGTGTACCCATCCTAAAGGTCCTTCACGAAGGCCACCCAGGCATCGTAAGGATGAAGGCCCTGGCCCGCAGCTACGTTTGGTGGCCAGGCATGGATGCCCAAATCTCCAGCTGGGTAAGCTCATGCCAACCTTGCCAAACTACCAGGCCTGCCCCACCAGCAGCCACCCCTACCAGGAGGGAAAGTGCTGGGGGACCTTGGTCTCGCCTGCACATAGACCTGGCTGGACCAGTACATGGAAGGACCTTCTTGATTTTAGTAGACTCATATTCCAAATGGATAGACTTGGCCCTACTACCTTCAACAACCACCCAAGCAATTGTTAAGGCTCTAACCCGTTTGTTTGTTACCCATGGCCTCCCTGACACACTGGTGTCTGACAATGGCCCCCAGTTCACATCTTGTGAGTTTAGTATGTTCGCTGCTAACTTAGGTATCAGACACATTCTCACAGCCCCTTTTCACCCAGCCAGCAATGGAATGGCTGAGAGGGCAGTCAGGTCAGTAAAGGAGGCACTTGCTAGGTTTGGTCAGGAAAACTGGCACTCCAAACTGTCACGTTATCTTCTAAGCCAGCATACAACCCCATGCACCACTACGAATAAATCTCCTGCTGAGCTATTAATGGGGAGGCGTCTTAGGACCACCTTGGACAGGCTACATCCCCATTACTGCCCAGACACCCTCCTGGGATCTAACAGCTTGGTCAGGGACTTTGCCCTGCATGACCTGGTCTACACCAGGAATTATGCAGGGGACCCGCTGTGGGTACCTGGACAGGTTGTGTCAGTTGCAGGGCCAAGATCCTACAGAGTCCTCCTAGAAGACGGACGCTTGAGGCGCAGGCACGTGGACCAGCTGAGGAGAAGGTGGAGAGGCACAACTGATGGCTCCTGCAACCAGCCAAGCGACCCGATCTACCCAGCAAGCACCAATGATCCAGCCTACCCGACAACCGCCAAGGGGCCGGTCTACTCAGCCCAGCCAGCCAGCATCGAAGGCTCCTTGCCGGGACCGATTTGCCCAGCCGAGAGTTCCCTGCAGGGCCCGATCTACCCTGCCAACGCCCGAGAGCTCCCTGCCGGACCCAATCTACTTAGACGACGCCGAAAGCTCACCGCCGGGCCCGATCTACCCGGGAGAGACCGAGCGCTCCCTACTGGGCCCGGTCTACCAACGAAGGACAACCGAGCGAGCCGGTCTACTGCCCCGGCCGAACGACGCGCCAGAAACGAACTGAACGGAGAGGCCTACCTGATCCACCGAAGGGCCTCACTGACCAAACCCACTCTCCAACAACCTCCGAGACGCTCCCCGGGACCGAGGACTTCGTTCCAGCCAGAGACTTTCCTGGACTCCGACAGTCCTGCCGCCATCGTAGACGACCAGCCTATTTGCGGGACTACGCATGCTCCTGGCCGGGGGAAAGGAGTGTTGTGTCTATAGAACTGGCTGGAGTTCCCAACCCGGTCCGCCGTTCGAGCGGGAGCGCCGACCGCTCCCATTGGCTGATGCCGTTTGACAGCTGGCTATAAAAGGAGCTGTCAAACAGCATCAGCTGTTGCTGCCAGCTGATCTGCCGAGTTAGCCTGGCAGACGCAGCAACCCTTTATTCACCTGAATAAAGTCTTTTCGAAACGACGCTTTGGCTCAGCCTCGTATCTCCGCCACTCCACAACAAAAACCATCATAAATTGGGCACAATTCACTTAAACTGACTCACTTAGCAATGGATATTCTGGTCCAAATTGCAGTTGTAAGTCGAGAACTATCTGTATTGTGTCAATGACATGTTTTATTAATAATTTGTGTTTAATTTTAGTAGCTGTTTTTTTCTTTTTCATAGCATCAGATCTCTTAATTCTATATTTGTCATAAAAAACATCATGCAGAATGTAAACAAAAGAGTAATGAACAGCCTCCATCATACACTGTAGGGAGTGCACTTCCTCATAAATATGCTGATATTTGCAGCACAAATTCTTGCTTCTTAGGAAGTATAATAACTATTAAGTAAAGTAGAAGAACTTCTAAATTTTCCACCAGTTAATTTGGTGTTTAAAGGCTGCAACTGAAAAATAAACTAGGAAGCCGGAAGACAAAGTTAAGTAATATGAAATACATTGCTTTTCCTGAAACCTCTGTTGCAACCTTTCTCACATTTCCTTCTTGTTTTACTGAGATGTGGTAACCATGTTATTGTAAGTTGCTGGATGAGGGGGAACAGGATTTCGTTCAGTTGTGACTGCTTCATCTCTGAAGACTTGGTAAGGCACAAAAAGATTGGTTGGCTGTAACAGAAAAGAATAGTCAATACAAAAATACTCAGGAAAGCCTCTCTTACTCTAGGTAAGAGGAATAGAATGTGTGTGTTTTAACTGTGATGCTGGCAGTCTCACCAACAGGCTGAAATCCTTGATAGCTCAAAGTCCTAATAGAGAATTCTTTAAAATTATAAATTAACAGGCAGTGATTTAGGGACTGGGCATTTAAGTAACTTTTCCTGATCAAATATGCCAGCTTTATCCACATATTCAGAGAATGTTTGCTCAAGATCTCTCACCTTCCTACCAAGAAGTGTGACAGGAAGTCCCTCATCACACAGTGAGTGTTCTCTGTATGGAATAGATGACCTTCTGAAATAAAGATGGTACCAACTGGAATAGTCCTCTGGAACAGGGGTTGCCAACCTTTTGGACCTCAGACAACACCAAACTCATAATTTTAAATCCCAGGGACCACTAACCAGTTCTGTGGGCATGGCCTAATTTGTGGGTGTGGCTTGGTTGTCATGTGACTGATTGGGTATGGCTTGTATGTAAATATTATAAATATTGATATAAATATTGATTTTTTTAATAAAAAAACAACTTTTACCCAAAATCAGGCAAAGCAAGTAGGCCGATTGAGCTCCTCACAGAATCACAGATTCATTCAGAGATCTATTTATCTGCGATTGGCTACCTGAGTCTGTCACATAAAATTTGATTGCAAGCAAACTCATAAAATTTGCTAGCAAGTAAACTCACAAAATTAACTCACAACACACCATGTATGTAAATATTGAATCTTTTATAAAAAAAGAGCAACTTTTACCCAAAATCAGGCAAAGCAGGCAGGCAGATTGAGTTGCTCACAGAATCATTCAGTGATCTATCTATCTGCCATCAGCTGCCTGAGTCTGTTACATAAATTTGCTTGCCGTGAGTCTGAACTGAATAATAGAAGTCCCAAGGGAGGTTCGGCTATGCTTAAAAGCAGAGCCGAAGATCTAAAGACTAGCTAGAAAGCAAGAAACGCAAACATTTCCTGTTTTCTAGCTAATCTAAATCTCCCGGCACAGCAGAATCGCTGATGGTTGGAAGGAAAAACAAAAAGGAAAAATAGCAATTTAGCAGGCAAGTTTGCCAGCTAGGGAGTGAGTGGGCAGGGAGGATTCCTGTGGGCCATGTGGGCAGTGCAGCCTTGTGTTCCTGCGCAGCCTGGATTAATTGTTTGGGGGGTGCTCTGGGGGTGACATTTCTCTGTGGCCCACCAAAATTTTCTCGCAGCCCACCAGTGGGCCGCAGCCCACCAGTTGGCGACCGCTGCTCTGGAAAGTGGTAAGTGGCAAGAGAAGTGAACTGGCTTCTCCTGAGGACCTTTGGGGACTGGTTTTATTTTGTGCTTCAGTTTTTATTGCAGTTTTATATTGCTTATATTTGATGTTACTGTATTTGTATGGTTGTACACCTTCTAGGGTCCAGTTTAATTGAGGACCATATAAATAAATACATAAATAAAATAAATAATAAATAATATTTTCATTATTTATTCAAAATGCTATCAGATTATTAACTTATTTTAATAATTTAAAGGCCCAAAGAAGATGCACTTCTCTTCAGGGGAGGTTATTACTTTGGTAATGGCTTCAACTGGCAGTTGCTGTGAATGGATATAGGTGCCGATAAAGGAAAATATATATAGCTCAGGGTTGACATGAGGGGACCTTGATTCTCTCTGAGCTTGGTTGTGCAGATGTTCTATTATCCAAATAATAAACCTGCACTGATGATGTTACCTAGTTTGAGTAGTGAAACATCTGCAAGAAAGCAACCAAGCTAGAGAGCACCAAGGACCCTAAGACAGGTATCTCTGTATGCTGATTTAGCTGCTTACAATATTCTTAGAGTTCTTCTATCTTCTCAGGCCCAATCATATTTACCCCCTTCAGTCTTTGTTCCTTTTTCTCCCTCTCAAATTAATCTAAAGCATTTCTGAAAGGTTGAGAGTATGTTTGTTATTGGTACAAAAAGAAGCCAATTGTCGCTTCTGCAGAACAAGGACAGACATGGCTTTCTGTCCAACCACAAAACTTGCCAAGGCAGAATGAAGGTATGTACTGTAGTTGGTAATTCAATTGTTTCCAACTTATTTTTTTAAGGCCTTTGTAGTGCTGACAGAACCCTTTTATTACCACATCTATATTTGGAGATCTTAGGTAGCATATGGTAGTCGTGTATTCAGCTGTTTGTCTGAGATTCAAAAATAATGTTTTTTTTTTTAAAAAATGGTAGCATCATGAGAAAATGTGATCAAGTGACAGATACTTTGAATTAATGTAGTTACACCACTAAAGTAACTATATTGAGAATGGAGCCCTCTAAAATGGAGACATCAACATTTACATGACTGAATTATAGAGACCACAGAACTGTATTATATTCATGACATTCACTTTCTAGCAAAATAAAAGCTGGGAAAAATTCAAGTCATCTAATTATTAATATGCAGAAGCAAATAAATCACAGTTATAAAGCTTATTGGATAACCTGAGTCGCCAATCTCACCTTCAGGGTAATAGCAAAGAAACAAGCAAAAGGTCAGGTTAGGTGGAGTGCAGATATAAAGAAGAAAAATGGACAGTCTTCTTTACAACCTTTAACAATGAGAACTGCTGAAGCTATTATCGAAATATCAACTATTTACCTGGTAATCACGACAGCAAGTTGCCTGGCAGCCAAAATGAGCCAGTGAAACAGCAATGCAAAATTCCAGCATGCTGAACACGAGCAGCACACTGGAGAAGCCATAACTTGTATTCCGTATAGTATCCTGTAGACATGTAGAGAAATAGTTGTAATTAGCTGAGAAATTAATGTAGTGATATGTATTTTACTTTATTTTATGTGCTTCACCGTTAAAAGGAATCCCCAGCTGCTTCCAGTGATCCATCTAGCTTTGCATGTCAGTGAAAGATGCTTCCTTTTGCTTACTTCCAATCCCTCTGCTTCCTTCTTTAAAGGGACATGTTCCCCACAACAAAGGGTGCCGGTTTTGATGACCCAAACATATTGGAACATTTTGGGTGTATGTTCTCCTAAATTACCCCAAAAGTCACAAGGGACAGAACCCACAGCAGTGAAAGCAAATTAATTCATTCTGCACCTGCATATTTTCCTTATTTGGGAAATACACCATCTCTGTTCATGTAATCAAGAACCACTTACAATCATTCAGATAGATTCTGATTTGCAACTGTTGCTTTGGAAGAGCCCTGTATTCAATGTGTGGAATCTCCTGGATCTAACAAATTTGTGTGCGTAATTTATCTTTGTGTTAACACCATAAATAATGAAGGCATCAAATGCCTAGTCTCTATGGCCAGCCCCTTTCCTGCCCATTGTTGCACCTATTCAAGATTTACTCTTGAATGCTATTGCCCTTCCCAGGCTTCTAAAAAATCCCACCTGTTACAGACTGTTTTTTTCCTCTGACTTCGCTGACAACCATTTTCAGCATATCATCAGTCAATAAGGAAAACATTCATCACTCAGGGTACTACAACAGAAATGGGGTGTCTGCTGTACCTTTCTTCCACCCTCAGTTTGGGCATCTCCCACGTTAAATTTAACATAAAATAAAGTTACCTATGAAAAGACATTGGGTACTGATAGCACAAGCACTACTAATCTTCTGAGAAGAGGAAGACAACTTCTTCCATAATTAGATATACCCTGCAAGACAGAAGATCTGAAACAGACAGGCTGAAGCCTCCATTTCTGCCAGGGATGGACAGAGAGATTAAACCATACTACAAATAGATTTATTTTACTTATTTATCAAATGTAGATACTGCCAATATAACTGTCAAAGTAAATAGATGTGATTTGCTTTCCCTCCATTACCCAATAGGAAATATAGAGAGTCTATTACCTGTTGATTGGAGAGAAGTAATGGAGGAAAGTTTAGGGCAGTGATGGCTAACCTTTTTCACGTTGCGTGCCAAAAGTACACTTGCGTGCGCTTGCATGCCTGCATCCATGATGCAATGCGCACACGACTCCCTGTGTGCACACTGCACACCTCTATGCATGCACATGTGCCCCCTGTACTGCATGCCTCTGTGCATGCACATGCAACCCCCGCCACCACATGCCTCTGTGCATGCACGTGCATCTCCTATACATGTCTCCCCCACACATGCATGGCAGATACCTGACAATCAGCTGATTGTTCTCCCCCCCATGAATGCCCAGTGGGGCTCTTCCGGGCAACCTCTCGTGTGCCGGCAGAAGTGGCTCTGGGTGCCCCTTCTGGCACATGTGCCATAGATTCACCATCATGGGTCTAGGGAGATTCTCAGTCATCCAGGTCACGGTGGTCCCAAAGGTGCTTTTTCAAGAGGCAACTGGACTTTTTTGCTTTCCTGTGAAGACATTTTGCTTCTCTTCCAAGAAGCTTCTTCAGCTCTGACTGGAAGCAAATGGAAGGATTTATACTCCTTGCAGACAGTTGGTCATTTGCATCCTTTTAGAAGTTGTTGAGGCCACCATCTAGTCAGAGCTGAAGCAGCTTCTTGGATGAGAAATGAAATGTCTTCACAGGAAAACAAAGTCCAGTTGCCTCTTGAAAAAACACCTTTGGGATGAAAGAGCAGATGGGATGGATAGGGAACCTCAAGAAACAAAGTGCTGAAGGGAGTAGGAGAAATGGTTAAGGCAGAGGCTGGCTAGTCCAAAGGGGAAAAACTGACAGGCCTCCCCACTGTCCTAACATATCCACTCTTGGTCACCTGCCTTTTTCTCCAAGATAACAGGGGAAGGGAAATAGATTTTATACGCCTTGAGGCTGTTGTTGGATGAGCTCAGAATAAGAGGAGAGGAAAAGACTGCTTTTATACAAGTACAGCTAATGATGACTTACTCACATCAGGTATAAATCTTACTCATGGCCTGAGGATAAGGTAAAGGAAATCTTATGGGAAAATTGGCATCAGCCGAGTATGGTTAAGGGCAGCAACATGATTTAGATTCAGCCAGTCTAAGATATATTGTTTCCCCTCCTCAATAAGGATGCAGCTAGATCTATTTTCTTTACCCAACTTCTTTCCAATCATTTGTCAGGCTGGAAAGGAGAAAAGCCCTGGATGTGATACTACTAAGATTTAACACTCATAAGAAAGCAAAGGGCAGCACTGTACAAAATACTAAAATATCAAGCCATTGATCCCAGGTATTGGTATGGTTCCAAACTGTCCAGACTTCAGAACTTACCTAAATTTCAGTTTTCTAAAACTGGGTGGCAAATGCAAAGGATGAGGATGTGGGGGTGGCAGGAAATGAATAGATTTCAACATGTACAGCTGTATTTTATGCTATATAGAATTCTCAAGCATTCTGCATGTGAAGCCAAAATTTAAGAAGAGATTGGTTTACTTACAATTATAACTGCAGTGTTATATAGAGGAGCAGTGATGATCAACTGGCACATATAGAGGATGATACCAATGAATGCCATGATAGCACTTGTGATGTTCATTCCTACACTGGATTTCACCTGAAACAGCAATACACCAGAAAGAGAGAAATTGCAATTACAATGTCAGCATAAGTCTTATTAAATACAAAGCATAAAAACAATTAGCCCCAAATATGGTAAAGAATTTATTCTATTTGTATGTTTAATGACACATAACCAGTCCGTGGTGAAACCAAACAACATCCACGAAAATCATAGGTATCAAACAGCAGCAGCAACAGAGTTTTCCATAGTGGAAAGGCAAATGCCACAAATCATTTGAAGACTTTTCACTGTCAAATTCCTTCTTTCGGTTTCTGGATGTCAGCCTCCACTGAAGGCCAGGTGGTTAACAGTGACAGGAAAACTGGTAAGGATAATTCACCCATAACATTTTGGTTAAAGAAATCATACACTGTTTATTCTAGGACACAATGCACTCTAAGCATTAAATGTTAATGTTAAATGCTCTTTTAGCTGTATAATAGTTCCTATCAAACAGGCAACAAATAGTAAAAATAGGGAGTGCCCTATCAAACCCTGTACCAGTTAAGAGCTATGTCCCCCAAGGCAGCGTTCTAGGACCCACACTTTTTATACTCTATATAAATGACATTTGCGATCACCTTATAAGCAACTGCGTCCTCTTTGCTGATGATGTAAAACTATTCAATACCACGAACAATACTACCGTCCTTCAAAGCGACCTTGATTATGTGTCTGAATGGTCAAACAATTGGCAAGTCCAATTCTCAACAAACAAATGCTCAGTCCTACACATTGATAAAAAAAATCAGAACACCAAATACAAGCTAGGCGGATATGACCTCGTTGATGATCCTCACTCTGTCAAGGACCTTGAAGTACTCATGTCAAATGACCTAAGCGTCAGAGCTCACTGTAACAGCATTGCCAAAAAGGCATTAAGAGTTGTAAATCTAATCTTACGAAGCTTCTCCTCCAGTAATATTGAATTGCTAACTAGAGCATACAAACCTTTGCTAGACCAATATTCGAATACAGCTCATCTGTCTGGAATCCACACTGTAAACCAGACATTAATACAATTAAGCGAGTCCAGAAGTATTTCATGAGAAGAGTACTACACTCCTCTGCTCGCAACAGAATATTCTATATCACCAGGCTTGAGATTTTGGGCTTCAACAATCTAGAACTACACCGCCTACTGTTAGACCTAAGCGTAATACACAAAATTATCTGCGAAAATGTCCTACCAGTCAATGACTACTTCAGCTTTAACCGCAACAATACAAGAGCACACAACAGATACAAACTCAAAGTAAACTGCTCCAAACTTGATTGCAGAAAGTATGACTTCAGCAACAGAATGGTCAATGCCTGGAATGCACTACCTGACTGTTGTTACATCCTCTAACCCCCACTCCTTTAACCTCAAACTATCTACTATTGACCTCACCTCATTCCTAAGAGGTCTGTAAGGGGTGTGCATAAGTGCACCATCGTGCCTACCGTCCCTGTCTTATTGTCCCCATTTATTCGTACCTATTTCCTGTATTCATACTCATGTCTATTCTTATCTTTATTATCTTGTAAGCGATTGACAAATCAGATAAACAAACAAACAAACAACATTACACAGAGTCTACTAGAGAGATGGGAATGGAGAATCCTTGGAGTCAGTAGTAAGAATTCTAAACATTTAAAAATTGCTCTGTTTTTAGTTGTCCCCTGTCAGAAAATCTAGTATTTTTCTATCAAGATGGTATTTTTTCTTCTCTGGAATCCACACTGTGTTCCTTTACAAGACAAAAACATTTCTATGTTGCCATGAACACACTTTAAATTGGGGGGTGGGGGGTGGGGGGGAGAGAAAGCAAGCTCTTTGTAGGAGGGCTACCATCTGCTCTCTCCTCCCTTTGATTCCCAGGAGGATTCCCACATTTGTTCCCCACTTTTACTCCTAATATATTGGGCTTCTTCCTAATGTTACTTTTAGGTAGGATCACTTCTGAAACAGGAACCTCTGCCAAGATGGAGGAGGAGGAGAAGGACATTAACACAATTGAGCAGGTTCAAAGGTATTTCTCCAGAAGAGTACTCCACAATCCTCTACCCACAATAGTATTCCCTATGCCTCCAGGCTTGAAATTTTGGCTTGAACACTCTTGAACTGTGCTGCCTGCAATCCAGTCTAAGCATTCACAAAATTGTCTGCTATAACATCTTGCCTGCCAATGACTTCTTCAGCTTCAATTACAACAATACACAGGCAAATAACTGATACAAACTCATGGTAAACCGCTCCAAACCCAATTGCAGAAAATACGACTTTAGCAACAGAGTGGTCAACACCCTACCCGACTCCGTTGTTACAGCCTCAACCCCTCATAGCTTCAACCTCAAACTGTCTACTGTTGTTCTGACCCAACCAGGTTCCCAAAGCTGCCAAAAAACCCAGAGATAAGTACTAATTTACAAGATTCCCCAAACAGAACTAAGACGTCCACAAGCTGAGCTTCAGAGCTTCTTTGCCTTCTGCAAAGAACGCTTTTTCAAACCTGGCTTTTATCCTCTTGAGGGAGGGGCCATTACTTTGTAGCCTTATTCCTGAGTCTCCTGTGCTGCTGTAATTGTTCTTTCCTGTGAGCAATCATGCGCTCACATGCACTTGGCACAGGCTCCTCAGGAACCTCCTCATCACTGCTGCCAGCCACCACAATCTCTGAAGGCAGCAGTCCATTCCCTGATGGTCTTGGCCCCTCATCAGAGTCCTCACTCTCCTCAGCCATCTGCACCTGCTGCCAGCTAACCACAACAACCATGGACCTCACCTTATTCTTAAGAGGTCCTTAAAGGAGGCATGCATAAGCGCACCAGCATGCCCACCGTCACTGTCTTACTATCCCCATTTATCTGTATTTACTCCCTCTGTTCTTGTCTCTAATTCTGGATGGGGGAACATAGAACTACTGTTGACATAGAACTTTCAATAGAAGCAAGCGTTGGAAGCAAAGGTTGATCAAAGAAGGAGGGAGGGTGACTTTTGAGTTTGCTTTTCTTTCCTAAATGTTGGTTTAAGATTGAGAAGTATCTGCAGAGAATTGATACAATAAAAGGTCCTGAGTCATCATCATCATCATTTAATGCCCCCATAATCCCTTGCTGGATGGAGTCTGGGCAACTGAATTGAGCTAGCAGAGTGTTTTAAGGGCCGTGTGCCCTTCCTGTCACCAATGCAGAGTTTTATTCATCAGATATATTCTCAGTGTGCCCAGAGAGAGAAATATCTACCTCCACCTAGGACCAAACCCATAGCCTCCTGATTATGAGGCGAGAACTCCACCACTAGGCCACCACACCACTCCAATAAAAGGTCCTGAGTGCTTACAAAAAGACCAGCAAAAAAGAAATTCAAATGCTACACAGGTTTCTCACCAAACCAGGATTTGGACTGTTCGCAGCTGCTACACAAAGTGATCCAGAAGAAATAAACTATGGAAAAAGAAACAGAAAAAAATATTTTAGTCCACTGGAAATATCAACAGAAACATATCAGAAAAATCTGGAACCCACAAGAAGCCAAATTGGCTCCAATGCAAACAAGACTTTCATAGTTATCCTTTAACAATACTAGGGTGCATGACTCAACAAAAATGTGCACATACTTACAAATATCCCTCCCCAAAAGGGGTAACCCCCAATTCCAGACAAGGTAAAATAATAAATAAATAGCCAATGGGAGACAGCCCCAAAGCCAATGTGGACCAACCCAATCATGATTTGGACAGCCTGCAGAAAGAAAACACACAAAATAAGATAAATTAATTATCTGAATCTGAGAAAGGCAAACTTGCTAATTCGTTAGCACCCCAGGAAAGGCATCATTTTCTATCCATCTTTGAAAGGCCTTCAAAGGTGTTGACCCAAGGCCTGGTTTCCTATGGGAAAAAATCCAAATGGGGAGAAGGGAGAGTTTGAGACACCATTGTCACTATGTAATAGACATTTAGTCCTTATGATGATCTAGTTTGAGCTTCAGTGGGACTGCTTTTGTCAGGAAGAAGGTCTGTAAGAATATCATAATGGGCCTTTAAGAGAAAAATGACACCTCTCACTACAGACTTCTCTGTAGGAGGAAGTTGATCATGGTCATAAGCACAAAGTGACTTTAACTGGCTTGGGCCAATTCATGACCAGGTTCCTCAAGAGAAATGCCCTTCTCAGATTGCACTTCCCAGAGGGAAAGGAGAAAAAGAAACTTCATATCAGAGTCAGAATGTTTTGCATAATCACAAATGAAACTACCAGGAAGAACAGAGGTTTTTGGAGTAGATTCCAGGACCAGATAACAGCCAAGCTAACTTCCAGAACTTCAACATGGGGCTCTCAGGTCTCTACATAGCTCTAAAACCTTAATGGACTTCAAACAGGAACATAACAAAGCATGCATACCCCAAGCACTTTGGGCTCAGCCTTCAGGAATCTCTCCAAAGGACTCCCTTGTGGGACTTGCTGAGGGGCACTGGTGGAAATCCCAAGTTGCTGAGCTCCATACTGAGGATATGGAGTTGTTCCAGATGCCTGAAGAGCAACACTGGGCAATCCAGGTGCCATTTGGATTATGTTTGCTCCATTAGAGGGGATGACAAATACAGTTCCACTGGCCATGCTTGCTGGAAGTGTTGCCACAGCTAAGTTACCTGCAAACAAACAAGTGAGGAAAAGTTAAGGTCTTAACATCAAGGAGGCAGATTCTGGTCCTTGTTAATCTCACTTTATGAGATAACATTTGCCTGCAGTAAAACTGAAGAAGATTGCCAGACGGGTTCAGGGAACAGGTAGTACAAATTTCTCTGGGATAGAAATTTTTCTTTTCCCAACAGTTCAGCCAGAATAAAGCAGCTTCTTTGTTGAGAAGGGAAATGTTTTCAAGGAAAAGAACAAAAAGCTCCAGTTGCCTTTGGAAAAGCACCTTTGGGACAACATGACCTGAAGGATTGAGAATCTCCATACATACCAGGGAGAAAAGGTTAATCAGGACACAGAGAACATAACGTTTTTCAATGCAAAGATCTC